CTCTTTTCTGGGTGATCCTGATGAAGCGACTTCTTTGTTCATAGATATTTGGAATCGTCTTCACACTTGTCCAAGGAAAACTCACAACAGACTACAGTCCTCGTGCAGGAAACCTCTTTCTTTGTGCTTGGATCTTTGTGGGCATTATCTTAACGGGTAAGTAGCCAGAAATGTAAGTAATGATTTCTCTTTAATGTAAAAATGTGGAGGCTTTTCTGGCATAGTGAATTGCTGGGTAGTTTTTAGATGTCCTGGACATCTAGGATTTCAGTACGTGGTTTCCTGTCTGGGCTGACAGAAGTTACAACTGCAGGGTTTAGTGGTTGCTGTTTCTTTCTCTTTGCTCTGGTTTTCACTTCAAGTATGTGCTGCATGCAGACCTTTCGTTTTACGGGTGATGTTGCTAAGGTACAGACAGCCATCTGTCACCCTTTTCTGGAGTCATGTCTTGAATCTGAGGCAGATGTCTATCTGTAGGGTAGGTTAATGCATGTAAACAAATACATACATGGAGACACTTTGCAGTTTTCCAAATGCAAGAAACTCCTGATGTATTCCTGAACAGTACCAGTGACTTACACGTGTTGGTACTTAGAAACGTGCTGAACATGCTAAAACCGTCCAGCTTTGCTTGAAGTGCTCGTGGTTGAAAAGCTTTTATTGTCTTTTTCTGCGTGTGCCTTGCGAGGAGCAAGTTCAAGTTGTTGGTAAGTTCCAGATGCAGCAGAGGGAATACAGGTATTTTGAGTATGTGCTGAAAGCAGCTTTTATGTACTTGCACTGTACAAATGTTTCCCTTGAAATGCATGTCATTGCAAAGTTGTGAACCAGCTTTCTCTTCATTTCCTTGTTACAGCCGTAATAAAATCAGATTTGCGAAGACACAATGTGAATTCAGGGGTAATGAATTTGGATGTGAAAGCTGTAAGTGGCGACTCTTCTACCATGATTGTGTTACCATACTTGAATGCTTGGCTTTTGTTGGCATAATAATATTAACAGCAAAAGAGGAATTGCAAAAACTTATACTATGACTGTTTCCATCTGGTTTGGAACAACAGAGCCACATGGGGTGATTCCCTCGGGTATCTGTTTCTCCCCTTAGCTCTGCTGAAAAACCTGGAAGACCTTCTGCTCTGAAGATTTTCCAGGTTTTAGTGCTTGAATCTTGCTTTTTCATATTTGCAGGTAGCATTGTAAATTGTGAAGCCTTTTTTGAGTATTGGGTTAGGAGCCTGTGTTATAGACTACACATTTTACTTAAAATGCCTGCAGTCCCTTTAAGTGAAGGCAGTGTCTGATGAACAGAAGTCACGCTGTGGTTTCTCTGCTGTACTGCATGAAGAGCTGGGTCTGTTCTGCAGTTTAAATGAAGGGTGAGCACAGCACTCTTCCTGCTGTTCAGGAGGTCCCAGTCCCATGTTTCAGCAGGTTGTTCAGATGATCACAGTTGCTAGGAGGAGTCAGGCTGGCAGTGGAAACTTTCTCAGTGTTGTGGGATTTTTGGTCATTTGGATCTACCATGAAACAGCTTTTTGGAGTCAGACACTGCAGGATCCTCTCTCACATGTAGGTGTCTTGCATATATTGCAGCTTTTGATCGTCTTTGATCAGGTACACACTGTTAGCGTCTGCACAATGTTCAGAAACTTCTAAGCTGGTGCACTAGGAGCTAACTTGAACCTGAAACCTGTGCAGCTGTGTGTACACAGTGTGGCATCCTGTGGCTTTACCAGCCTGGGTAGGGGCCCGTCTTGGGGTTGTACATGCTGACTGTAGGCAGTGGTCCATGGCTTGTCTGGTTTCTATTATCACCTGGTGAATTAGCGTAGATTGGCCCACAGCCTCATTTATATTAGCGAGGATATAACAAAAGCCTGGAGTCCTTACCCTGAGATCACCATAAATAATCGAGAGCTGCCTATGTTGTTAAAGAGCAATAGCATTTTGATACCAAACCTCGATCATTAAGATTCTACTGTATTTAAATGTCATGGAGAAAAAACCTGAAAGTTCATCTCCATATGATAAATATCTATATGTATTAAATGTACAGTTTAGAGTTATACTACAAAACTCAATTCTATGGGGTTTCAGGGGGGGCTGGTGTTTTGGTTTGGTTTTCTTTCCTTTATAGAGAGAAGGTAAACTGGGGCTTTCTCTAAATGCCCCATTTGGTTACTTAACTACACTGTATGTTAGACTCCCATAGTATAGTTACCCAGGAATACTGAGTTTGGGAATAGCTTCTGCTGAATAACAGCTTAATTTCAGCTTTGTTCTTTCTTTTTCTCCCTCCTCTCCAGGTACCAGTTGAGAGTCCTGTTGAACCTGAAAACACTGAATTAAAAATTCAGTCAGCTTTATAAAAGCTCAAAGAAGGTGGCTTTAGAAACACACAAGTTTAGTTGGCTACTGAACAATAGTAATTGGTGTAATCACTGGATTTATGTGTATGAGTAGTAAAATGTGTTTGGTGGTACTGGTGATTGTTGCGTGATGGAAACTAGGAAGATGCTCAGTTCATTTTGCCCATGATGCAGGCAGTTCACTTTTGTATGGAGTATTTATTTTAGCAGGCTTCAGGTTTTGCAGTTTCTTTACTAGAGGACTGTGTGAGCACTCTCCAGGCGTCAGGAGACAGGTACACTCAGGATGCATACTTGGAAAAAAACTGGAATTCTGAAGTACAGTCGTCATGAGCAGAAGTAGCTGATCTCTTTCGGTTCAGTCTTTGCTGGTGTGTTTGACAAGGCAGAGCAGGTGGCTCCACAGCTGGAGGATGTTCACAAGTTCCTTTTTTAAATGTATCTGTATTTTTAATATAAGGCAATGGTTCCTTCTGGGAAACTGTCTATAGCACAACGGTGAAAACAAGAGATGACTGCAAACGTGTGTGTTTCAGACTGACATTGCTTTTGCCTTGAAACTTCTCGATGGGTATCAGAAGGCAGATAAAAGAAAATGCTGTCTGACAGATTCATTGTAACATTTCCAGGGAGACTTAGAGAGTCTTCCACTAGGTAAATTGAAGAAAAAAAAACATTAAATACAAAGGAGGAGAAAGGCCTTTGTCTCTACTGTGGAGTATTTATAGGCAATGGAACACTACAACACAGGTTGCCTCCACGTTTGAGTGCTTTCTCAGTTAAAGCGAGAGGAGTACGTGTTTACAAAGAGCTGGTGCCTTTACTTTGTAAAGAAGATCCTTGCCTCACCTTGAGTTTAATCAGTGCTGCTGAAGAAATTCCACGTTGTGTGTTGAACCTTCTCTGAGTGTTTGTGGAGTATCAGAAACCTTGTTCTATCCTTTTGTACATTTATTTCTCTGTTATGAATTGTTTAATTTGTCTTACGGATATTTTTGTGCTCATACAATTTAAATCGTGTGCAGTTAAAAGCTGTAAGGATGAGTGAAGGGAAAATAGTGATGTTTCACTTTGAGGAAATATTTGCTGTTTATATCATACATCTTGGTTACAAAAGGAGCCGACTTCATTAACATTTGCCTTGTGTTATTAGATGTATCTGAATTTGGGATTTGGATTTCCCACTGAGGTGCTTTTGAAACTTTTTTCTTTTACCTTGTGCTCTGTCTCTACACCTCCAGAACTGATAGAAGCACAGGGGGGCCCTACTATTACTGAATAAGTCAGACCTGACTTGGTGAACTTTCTGCAGACATTTAAGCTTTGGCAGTATTTAAGCTGAGCCTGCAGGTTCAATGCCATTGATGATGCCATCTCTTTGAGTTCCCACAGCTGTCACGCCATCCAGAAGGTGGAATCCTGCTCGAAGTTTTCCACAGATCGTTACAGTTGGGTATGAGGACCTTTTTAACTCCAAGCCAAGTCTTTCAGTGTGACAAGTATCATGAAATGCTTTTCTTTTTTCTCATTTCGCTGTAAATTTAGTGAATAGTTTTAGATAGAAAGGACCCTGTAAGCTCAGCTTTCTAAACTTAGCCTCTAAACTTGATGATCTTGATTTAACCTTTGTATGATAAATGCTTTGGATGCGGGAATATGCCTACCAGAATAAGCAAAGCGTGCTTGGAACACTCTGTTTTGGTCCATGTCTCTTTGCTGTGTCCGGTGCTAGAGAGAAAATGTGCACACCTTGCTGCTCCTGGAGAGGCAAGCTCTATGAGAAGAGTCCTCTGGTGAGGTAGCTTCATATAGAAGTAGCTCATAGATAGTCAGATGGCAGACAAGAATACAGGAGTGGAAGTAGAGATGCTTTCATTGTGTCCGTTCTTTACATTTAGTGACTTACTGTGATACAAGCTGCCCCATCGAGGGCTGTACACACTTTCAGCCTGGGTCAGCAAAGGGAACAATTCCTGATAATGAAGGCTTAATTATATCCTGGATTTAAAACTCTACCTCTTGCAAGTTGGAAACCTGTGAGCTATTTGCAGGCAATGATGAGGCATTTAAAGCAGCAGCAAAATAAAGAGCTAGTAAAGAACAAACCAGTACTTTATGCAATAATCTTCTGTCAGGAAACTGAGGTTTTAGCTCATGGCAGAAATAAATTGGGGTGATTGGAGCTGAACAAACCATTCACCCAATCAAACATCCATCTGGAACTGGAAATAGGGTTTCTGACTCTTAGTCTTGACATTCTTGATCAGCCCTTCAGTAAGAGTAGAGCTGGGGCCTAAAGATCCTAACTGCTTAAAGAGAGAATCATTTAATAAGTGGAATTACATGTCAACTAAGAGAGGATGGAGTGGGAAACCAAAGCGAGGAGAGGTATCCCAATCCTATGCATCAGCTTTTGATTTTCAATATGCTTTTAAGTGCTTCAGGAGAACTCTAGAGGATGCACAAAAACTCATGGAATGGTGAGCATAAGCAAGGAATGCTCCCAAACTCCCAGGGACCCACCAGGTTGTGCAATCCCTAACCTGGAGCGACAAGATTCAGAGATCACCCTTTAAAATGACTGCAGCTTTCTTTGTTTCTTCCAGACCATGTTAAACTTTCCTAGACCCGGAGAACTCTGACCCATTCTTATGTAGGATTTATGGCCTTAAATCCCATTGTTGGCTGGGTGTGAAAATACCAGGCCTGTAAGGCATAGTCTGGCATTGTTGCAGTGGGGAGCTTTCTTCTTCAGCTTGGTACATAAGTCCTTGAGAGTGTTTATTTTATAGATGAGTGCTTGTCTTTATCACCCTATCTTTCTGTTGCTGAATACTAATGTTTTACAAGGAAGAAAGAACAAGGGAACAAGTGGGAAGAAGATGCAAGAATCATTCCAGGTTAATAGGGCTTTCCTATTCATCCTTTTGGTCAAGACACGTTGTTTCAGAGACAATCACTGGAGTGTGTCATTGGAGCTGCCAGCCCATGTTGCCCAATGAAAAAATGCTTTTTGAGCAAGCCTTGCGCTGTCCTGTGCAGTGCAGCTACAATCAAGTGAAATTGGGTTAAGCTGTAAGATTTACTGCTTTTGCTTTCCATTTGGTGAACTCATGAGTTTTTCCTGTGTGAATGGGAACATGTGACCTTTTTGGTTGCTGCCTTTCAATCCGTGCACGTACCACCTTTCTTCAGTGTTACAGGCTACTAATGATTCATTGACCACAAGCTCAGTTATTGTATTCCACGTGATCCCCCCCCCCCAAGCAAAAATTATTCCCAAGAGCAATGTATTTCCATGCAAGACCCATGTTATTTGCTGTATGCGTCTTTGTTCTTCTCCTGAAGGTAGCAGATATTTTTGTTGTACTATTCCGATTTTGGTATTGTCCTATCCTTTGTTTCCAGAGGAAATGAAAAGTTCCTTATGGGTAATCTGATTGCAATGTTGTGTGTATGTGTATGTGTGGGTGACATCATTCCTTACCATTATGGGTTACTAATAAAGTGTATGATGTGCAACTTGATTGGAGCCAAGGTTACCGTTATTGGCAGCTGCTGATACAGCTGATGGGGTAAAAATGATTCCTGGTTTTTCCTTAGAAGCTGCCATTTAATGTAGGAAAAAATAGTAAGTGAATGATACACTGTGTCATTTATAAGCATGTAAGCACATGTATATGTAGAGTGCATGTCTGCAGGGTATAGAAATGTATTCTACACAAGAGTTTTGGCTTACAGGGATGTTTTCTCAGGGCATGGAAGGAAAGGATTAGCATTGGTAGTTGAGGTGCACTGCTCTAGCACAGTGATTTCTCCTCTGCTTTGGAAAAGGTCTGTGAGCAAAAGAAAGTGCAGTTAGCTGCTAAAGCAGAGTGATCTAAGGCAGCTCCTTAAGGGTAATACAAACATGATTTTAGTAAGGCACACAGCTGTAGAGGGATTATCTGGGGAGAGAGGGAAGGAGAACTTGGGGGGATAGAGTGAAACATTACATTAATTTCTGCCCTTTACATTCAAGTCTGGCCTGACTTTTGTTTCTAAAACCAGAGTTGTCCTCAGTGGGAGCACAGGGGGAGCCTTGTGAACACACTGCAAGGGTTCTGTTGCTTACCCTCAGGCATTTAGGCCAGCACATTGGTTGTGAGCCAGGGAAGTCTGAGGAACCTGCCTCAGAGAAAGTCAAGGTTTGGGTGTTGTGTTCAGGGGTTTTGGTTGGGTTTTGTCTCTCGCTTCTCCCCAGATCTGGGATTATCTCTGCGCTATTTTTATATCAGAGGTCCTTCAGAGAAGGAGGGTGCAGGTGCTGCAGGGCAGAGGAAGTACAAGCCTTTTGTCATAAAACACTACCACCCAGTTCAACAGTGCGTTGAATTTTGAGATGGGCTCTTTGTTTTACAACCAGGGCTATACAGGGTCTTATCCTTCTTAGAGGACCTCTATGAAAGCTGCAGGCTATACCCCCATTTAACATTGTTAAACATGCCCACAGCTAGGAAGGAACAATCACAGCAAATTATTACTGCCTTGAAGTTCTTTTTGGTGTTTGAATTTTGTTGTTGTTTTTTGACAGATGCTCAGTCTTCCTTGACAGAAAACGCCAGAAACCTCATCAGGTAAGTGGGAGATGTGAAGCCATCCTAACGCTTGGAACTGGATGATCTTGAGGACCTTTTCAACCCAGACCATTCAATGATTCTGTGATTAGTCAGATAGTAATGTCTGTAGCTGGGAGGAGGCCCTTACGTATCCATGACTTTATTATGTACAGCACCAACAGTTGTGCTTCTAATCGTAAGGAAGCAGGGGGTTTATTGCAGTACTTTCCTGTCTCCGTGCAGGTGGGGATGACTCGGGGGACAGCTTGGCAGTGGAGGCAAGTCCTGACTGACCTTTGGTGCCGCCACTGGCAGCTCTGCTGTGATAAGGGCTGCAAGTCCAGATGGCTGCTGAAGAAATCTCCTTTCTAGTAGCGAGGGTTTTTAGCCACTGCCTTTCTTTCCTACCTGTACTTTTATTATGCAGTTCCCTGCACGTTCTAGTGCTTGTGCTGGGTAGTTTGCCCTCTGATTAACGGTTAAAGAAGTAGTAAGCAGCCCAAAAATGGTTGCTGGCTTATATGGAAGGTTACATTAGTGTTTTTATTGCCTGTTGTGGAGACCAAATCATGTGATATGCCAGCAAGACCTTTGCAGCAAACTCTATTGACATTATTTTCCCAAGCTACAGCAATCATAGAATCATAGAATGGGTTGGGTTGGAAAGGTCTTTAAGGTCATCCAGTTCCAACCCCCTGCCACGGGCAGGGACACCTTCCACTAGAGCAGCTTGCTCCAAGCCCCTGTGTCCAACCTGGCCTTGAACACTGCCAGGGATGGGGCAGCCACAGCTTCTCTGCGCACCATGTGCCAGCGCCTCAGCACCCTCACAGGGAAGAGCTTCTGCCTTAGATCTAACCTGAACTTGCCCTGTTTCAGTTTGAACCCATCACCCCTTGTCCTGTCACTGCAGTCCCTGATGAAGAGTCCCTCTCCAGCATCCTTGTAGCCCCCTTCAGACACTGGAAGCTGCTCTGAGGTCTCCAGGCAGCTTCTCTTCTCCAGGCTGAACAGCCCCAGTGTTCTCAGCCTCTCTCCATATGGGAGGTGCTCCAGCCCCTGATCGTCCTCATGCATTGCTGCAGTAGAATTATCGAAGGAGGTCCTGGACTTGCTCAGGCAGAAATGAAAAGATAATGCTGATGTTCTCCATTGCCAAAGCAGCTGATGGCTGCTTTTCTCTGCTAGATCATTGCAAAGTAAATAGTGTGGTAAGGGTTTGCAGAAAGGGCTACCTTGGGAAAAGCTCCAAGGAAGCACACCCTCAAGCATCACTTTTAGAGCCTCAGGTCTGCTTTACATGCTTATTTTCCCAGTGATCACATTGCTGAATACATAAAGTTGTTCTTAGTGCTCACACAAATCACTCTCGCAAAGTTGCATCACCAACTACTCCCATATTACCATGGTTACATCCTTACCCCAGTTTAACCCTGCATTTCATTACCAACTAAATCCCATTCCAGCCTAACTTCCAGGTCAGGAAAAAGCCCTAAACTAACAAGTTTTTTCAAAGATCAAACAAAGTCACTATGGGCTCTTCAGGAAATGGGCTCATGCTTGCATAGCAATAATGCAATTCACTTAGGGCAGGCAAACTTTCTTGACCTGTGTTCTCCTTCTTCCCATCTGCAAAGCTGAAGCACCTTTGGAGGATTAACCATTTCGGGTTGCTCCTGATTTTCTGGAGACGTAGTGGTTCTTAAAGGCAGAAAGGGCCACCAGGAACACTTGGCCTGGCTTTAGCAGAATAGTGCGCCCAACCTGGGGTCACTTGCACCCAGGCTTTGGGTTTTCACACTGACTACCGAGCATATTTCCTGCTCCACCAGGAGCCAACCTGCCTCCTATATGTATGCTCAGTGCTGGTACAGGGGCCTTCAGTGAGTGCAGAGCACTTACTGCCCGCCTTTGCTGATCTGTGCAGGCCCAGATGTATCATGCCACCAATTTGCACCTATCTGGTGGAAGGCAAGAGGAAAAGATCAACTGTTGAGCTGTAAGACCATTCCTTGGCTTCCCAGCCCCTCCTTGGATGGCAGCTGGGACCAGGGGAATTGCCAGATGGTGTGGCCAGGAGAGGCTGGGAGGCAGGGATGGCATCTGACAACCGGCCCATCTTTTGCTGCAGTGCTGCTGCTGGTCTCACTCCACTTCTGGGTTTGATGCTTCACTTACATGCCCTGGCAGCACAGAGCAGCATTCCCATTCATGGTGGGATGTATTTAATGCAGGTCTGTTGATAGCTGAGGTGGGGAAAGGCCTTAGATCTTACAGGAGGCTGGAGCCACGCTGGCAGAGAACCAGCAGGGAGCGTGGGCAGTGCATGAGACCTCACAGGCACTCATCACACCAGTGGTCCATTCCCCAGCAAAGCCAGCATGGCCCTGCCCTGAGGCCAGGGACCTCCACTGCCCAGGGAAGCTGCCTGCTTGCTCCTGGCACCTGCACCCAGCCAGCAAGAAGGGCTGCTGAGAAACAGTGGGTAATACAGGAAGTTTTTCCCCAGATAAATACATAAATGAACTGCCTGTGTGTGTGTGGAACATCACAGGGCAGCAAGGGTTTGTTTCCTGTGTGCAGGGCGATGCTTGCTGGGGAAGCGGCTGGTAGGGCTCTTTGAGGGGGATGCAGAGGTGACACTTCAGGAGGAGGAACCTTCTTGGATAAAGTGCCAATGCCAATATCACCTTGCTACCATGGTACAATCAGGAGCTATTAATTTTCATGCAGTTGGTTGTGTAATTGCGCTGCAGGACCTTTTGAATGCTGCATTTAAATCAGTCTGCAATTGGAAATAATGAAGGTTAAAACTCTCTTACATGATTTTATGATCAAATTAGTTCCTTTGACCCAGAAAGCAGCTGTGGTAGCTTCATGAGGAACAAGACTGTAGGTTCAAGGTGTTATTCAGAGCTAGCTTTAGCAAGGTACGTCCATGCAGAGGGACTGGATTTCAAAGGCACTGTGGGGCAGAGGCTGGGAGGTGTGAGGGGCAGGGCAGGGAACAAGGTGGCTTTGCTGAGAGTTCTGATACCAGACTCGGGTGGTACCACAAGGTGAAAGCCACTGGATGCTGGGGGCATGCGAGGGAGCACCCTGCACATCTCGCCCTGCTCTTGCTCGTCTTGAATGTCTCCTCATAACTAATATTGAGGAGGGCTTCAGCTAAACCAAGGCAGCATTCTTCTATTTTCACTCTGAATCTGCAGTTGGGAAGAGGGCAATGACGGCTTTCACTCAGCTATAGGAACTTGGGAATCCACTTTTACCCCCTTAGGCTGTTGTTTCAACAGGCCTTCAGGACCTCAGTTAACTTCTAGCCTGCCTGTCCAGTCTCCACAGTTGGCCTTGGATGCACTGGCTGGCCTCTGGGAGTGCAGCTTGACCCTCTTCAGCCTGAGCATGAAGGAGGAGCTGGTGAGACGTTAGTTTTCTTCCAGTCCTGATCATAAGGGGTCTGGGTGCTGCCTAGCTGCTAGGGACAGGCGGTGGTGTTCCAACCTTGCCATGCCGCTTACCTGTCTGGCCAGGGAAAAGTTCTTCCCTCTGTCAGGGAGTACCCCTGGCATGGTGGATGCAGGTTTTGAACTGCAAATCACTCTGGTCTTCACCCTTTCAGGGTGGCTAAGAGGTGTAGGAAGGTGTGACCTGAGGGTCCCTGCCTGCTCTGGGAAGTGGATCAGCACTGAGGGAGGCTGTGGTTGTCTCAGCACACTTGCCTGTTCCTGCAGTGAACAAGGCTCTGGGATACCCATGACTGCCAGCTTGTGTATCACATCCTGAGTGATGGCTTTGTGCTGTGCAGTTCCAGTGCTCCGAGCTCTGTCACACACATGGCTGCCACTCCCTGCACAGTCCCATTAGCCCTGAGATCCAGGTCTGAATGATTCTCAGGCTTCCCCCCGGCTCTGCACCACAGAACTTGCAGACTTTGCCAGCCTCTCTTCCCTTGCACTGCCTTGCCTGAGCCTCCCTCTGCTCCTCAAGAGCCTTCTGCTCCGTGGCTGCAGCCATCTGCAGCCTTTCTGGGTCTCTGCTTCATCAGCTCCCATCTGGAGCTCATCTCGGTGCTCTCACATCTTGCTGATGTGCAGCCTCATCTGCACTCCAGAAGGGGAGAGAGACTGTGCTTCCCTTGGGATCCTGCTCCAAAACCCGGCGAGGGGATATGAGGCACCTCTGGCCAGCATGGGGACACATTTGCCCTCCAGCTGCAGTCTTTGGCTGATCACTGGGGAAATGCAGGACATAGAGGAGAGGGTGAAGGCTTCACAGCAGCTCTAAATCCACTCTGACCTTGCCTCCCCCCCCCCCCCCCCCCCCCCGACTGTGTTGCCGTTTACACACTGAGCCCCCACGTTCAACTCAGGGGGTGAAAGCTGAGACTGGGCAAGCTGCATAAGGCAAAGCCCTTGGTTTTCATTAGTTGGTGGAACTCAGTGGCCTTCCTTACATTAAACCTGATGAGATTCAGCTGAGCCATGTGGCCAGGATGTGGCAGGGAAGATTACTGGTGGGACTCACAGAGACATCAGCTCCTGCAGAGAATGATTAGCAACTCAACATACACCTGCGGCTCCCGAGAGCCTTCAGGAAGCTGATTAGGGCACTGGAGTGATCTATTTACGGCAAGAGATGAAAATCAGCGCACAGAACCTGTGCAGAGGAGGTGCACAGGTACTCGTCCAGCCTGGCTGGGATCAGGAGAGATTCAGAGTGGCAGCGGGATCCAAGTGCATGGGCAGGGGATGGGAATGACATTTTTCAGGCTATTATTTCTGCTGGGGAGTCACCTCCAGCTCTAGGAGCTGTATGAGGTTGACGGTGTTCTGCGTGATAGAGAGAGCTAAAAGATCCCTGCCAAGCATGGAAATAAGCATCGGCGATGGAGCTGAGAGGTGGAGATGGCAGCAGCAGCCACAGAGTCACTGGCCAGGAGGAGCTGCGAGGCCACCGGTAGCTGGAGGAGAGAGGGGTTCCCTGGTGCTCTCATCCACAGCTCCTTCACACAGGGCATGGGAAGATCAGACGCTGTTGTTTCTGTGGTGTTAGCAGGCGCATGTGGATGCGTGAGGCCGGTACCTCTGGCTGCTGCAGGGGTGGAAGCAGGAGAACACGGCTGCTGTGCGTACCCCTGAGTACTGGGCTGTGCCCCGAGTCATGGACCCATCAACTCAGCCTCTGGCAGTGTGTGTGGCAGCTGAGAAAGGAGAAAGGCCACACTAAGACTGCCTCAGCCCCTACCCAGGGGCTGGGCATGTGGTGCTCCTACTGCTGGAGTGGGAAGTATTCCCTTGGAGGACAAGACAAGCACCGTGCTGTGCACCGCCAAGGGAGGCTGCGGGCAGCCACTCATCCTTCTCTCCACTCAGCCTTCCTCTACCGGCCCTCGCCTTCAAGCTGTGAGCTGGCTGCTTTCACCGTGACTCCCAGTGGCTGACAGTGACGTTTCCAGCCCTGTGCGGAGGAACGGAACCCCTTCTCTCTCATGAAGAATTCAATGAAGACCTCACCAAGCCGGGCGGCGGCGGCTGGCGAAGGTATTCACTCTGCGCCGCCCGGCAGGGGGCG